CCCCCCCCCCCCCCCCCAAACTGTGCAAAGTCTTTTCGAGTTGTCGGGACTCCTTAAGGACGTGGTCCTTACAGATTTCTGCCGCATCGACTTGCCAGGCAGGCCTCGTGGGCAGCATTGCCAAATGTGTAACCCCCTCTCCGACATCTCCGCAGGAAAAGCTCATTCGGGTTGGCACTGGCAGCCCCCCGAAGTGATTATTAGGGAATACTTACCGGATCCCGACCATCAACTCCCAGTGTGGGGAGGGGAAAATACATCTTTAACTTTCTCACCCCATTTCCTAATCAAAATATGGAAAGAAATCTTGACGATAATAAAGGGGCCCTCTCATTTCTAGCTTGTTGCCTGGTTAACCCACTTTTACGTTGCTGAATTCCCACCCAGCGAGGAAACCAGAACGGCGTGCCTTTTCCCTACCGAGGAAGTATTTTTTGAATGATTTGGGTTGATTTCTTACGAGGCAGGATAGGAAACCGCAGCTCCTCTTTATTTGCTGCCTACAAACCTTTGGATTCCAGCTTTAATAGGAAGAAATCTCTCATTTCAAACTCCGGGGTTATGCTATGAAATTGGCGTCGTTGATTTGAGCGACCAAAAGAGCGTCCTGCGGCTCTTGGAGATAAAGTGTCAAAAACCTCCTGCGTCTAAATCAATGCAGTACATCGCTGTGTACATCTAGAAAGTTGAAATATCCTGCTTTCCTTTCACTCAGCAAGTCATATTATCTGAAATGCATGTAATAATAGTGCAATGGCTTCAGAGGCTACAATTCTGATAATATATCAATGATCTGATAATAGGTGACATTTACAAACCATCTGGTAGGGATGGATCCCAGAGATGATTACACCAGGCATAAGGAAGTTGAAAGGATAATTAAAGGAGCAAACAAAAATAATGACCAGTGAGTTGCAGAGAGTATTCCAGCTGACATTTGGGATCACACTGTGCCATTGATTTATAAGCAGAATCCGCTACTGGATTCGCCTGGGAGTTCTGCTTAAAATCAGTGACAGTGTGGCCCACTGGGTTTCTCAAATACAAACGAAGGCACTATATCGCTGGTGTGAGTTATATGTTGGAGACAGGCATGCTCAGCCAGGAAAGGGGCTGAGGATGGAGACCATATGGTCATCGGGTGCTTACTGGCAAAACTGCAGCCCCCCTAATTTTGGAAGTGGCTGTGGAAATACCTAGCACGAGTCGGTGCCTCTAGAATAGGTCTGCACTTCCCATGCTTGTCAGACCCAGGCACGTGTGAAGGTCTGTAAGAGCTCTCGGCTAGTCCGGAGGAGATGGAAAAGTAACTCAAGCTAGAGGACATGACACAAGACTGGGTCCTAACAGCAGTTCCCCAACAGGACGCGGGGCTTAGGAAGGGAAAACCCCGAGGGGTCAAAGCTCGACTGGGGGTACATTTCTCTGCTTGCGGGTCCACAGAAAGAGCTTGGGAAACTGGCTGGAAAAAGAGCAAGTGGCTGCTAAGGTTGGGTGTTGCCAGTAGGTGACATCAGGCTTTGCTTTTTTTTTTTGCTCTTTTGTTAATCGGGGAGATCTTCAGCTGTGAGACTGCAAACAACGAAGGGTGACGTTAGTAGCAAAGCCAAGTACTTCTGTCGCCTGTTTGGGAGCTATGTCCCAAGCGGGGAGTGTACACCATGCGGGAACAGTCCCCGCCAGCTGGTCGAGCAAGTGGGCCCCGGCTCTTGGAAGGATAGTCCTTAAGTCCTGGGCCAACCCAGAGCCCGAGCCCGAGAGCGGGGGGTTCAGGGTTAGGGTTAGCTGAGACCTATTAGGAATTATCTGAGGGCGTGTGATAGCCCCTTCGGAAGCCCAGGGGCTTGGTTAGTCTCGATCCAAAGCAATTCGCTTTAGTTGCTTTTGATCCGCTTCCCGTACCTGGGGAAGTTATTAAATTGAAGCTTCTCCCATCCAGAGAATAATCACTCCAGCTGCAGTCAAGTCACTTCAGCGGAGATCATGTTGAGCTCAAAGGCGCAGGAGGGAATCCTTTGGGCGTGACTCAAAAGATAAGGCACCGAAGCAGGGTCCCTGCGTGTGGCGGACTGCAGACAGGAGCGGGTTTCTGCAGCAGTTCCTCAGGCGAGTAAGGGCAGCAGGATTGGGGCCCGGGGCCCGATTTCTACTCCTCTTACTCTCGGGGGAGTTCACCACTAGCATCAGCGGCCGGAGGGGGAAGCTCCAGTGTCCAGCTCCGGCCAAGGGCCCGATCCTGCCCTAGGAGCGGTGTTGGGAGCTCACTGAGCTGCTTCATCTCGGCGAGAGCTGGGGCCGTCCAGTGCTTCTCAGGAGCGACCAGACAGCAAATTGGGGCCCTGTTACTACGATTTTTTAATTAAACCGACAAGTCCTTTTTTTTTTAAATGTTGAGATTTGAATACGAGCAGAGACTTCCGTAGTGTAACACAAGGACAACTGGGATGCAGAGTCAACTTCGGGAAAGTTTCTGCTAAATCAAAGGCCGTTTCTGTAAATAATTATTAGGCTAGTTTCCGTAAGCACCAGATCTGCTGCCTCAGACGCCTGTCAAGGACATTTTGGAAGTGTTATCTACAGCCAAAGACTACAAAGCCAGAAAAGTAACAGGAAAAAACATCTGTGACGGTTAAAGCCAAAAAACTGCCCGGTGTCGTTTTGGTCGTTGACATGGGGACACTGGTGGGGGCTGTAGTTCTCTCTCCTAGAAGGCCGCCTGTCATTTTTCATTAGTCAGCCAAGTGGATTAGCACTTCATTTCCCTGTCCTTTCTACTCTTCCCCCATTTTCTTTGCCTCTTGGTGCTTGCTGCTGTTCCCCAGCACCAAGCTGTTCCCGAAGTCCTGCTCTCTCTCTTTCCATTCAAAGATCAGCGCTATAGTGAGATGCGGCGAACAGCAGCGCTCAGAAATTCAGAGCCGGGTGCTGCGCCCCGAGTAAATCCAAACAGCGCCCTTCTGCCCGGCTCCGTGAGCCGGTCCTCACCCCCCGGCCAGGGGAGGGAATTAAGAGCACCCACTGTTCACTTGCCAAGGGAAACGTGCCCCGTCCTTCAAAGCTACTTTGTAGCAGGTCTCGCCTCCTCTGCGAGGGGCTTTGCTCAGCAGAGAGCTCCGGCTCCCAACCCCCCAGCTGAGAGATAACCGCCTCGATCACAACGATATTTCTTTACAACACCCCACCTGCCTGGATGTCAAGGGTAGTGCCGCGAGGCGGGGGAGATGGCTGGCAGATCTCGGCTGGGAAAGAGCCACCCAGGTACTCCGAGGGCCCGGAGGCAGGGCGGAGGCGAGGTGACCCCGGGGTGCCCCGGGAGCCGGGCAGGAAGGGACGCGCTGGAGGAGGCTGCTTTGCAGCCGGGCGCGGCGGCAGGCTCTGACTGACGGCGAGGAAGTTCCTGATAAATCATTAATCATGGGAGATCATTGCAGCTAAAGACAATCAGCCCCTCGCAGCTTCTAATGATCTCCGGCCTCCAGCTCCTGTGACTTGCAAGGCAATTTGTACGGCGGCCTCAGCAACCCGGCGGGAGCGGGGTCTGCTCCGTGCGCCCTGCCCCGGCACAGGGGCCAGGGGAGACCGCGACTCCCTCGTGCGGGGACGCGCCTCCCCAAAGCCCTGCCCGTGTCCCTGCCGCTCCGCCGGCCGAGCCCGGAGCCCCAAACCCGCCAGCGCCTGCAGCCGCCTCCCCGCGGTTTTTATCCAGTCGCTGCTGCCCCGCGAGCTCCGGCTTCCGCTCGGCTTGTCCTGCCCCGGGACAGGAGACCATAAAAGCCGCCGGCACCAGGCCGGGCCTTCGGGGCAGCAGCGGGCTGAAGGGCGCCAGGACAGCCACGGGGCTCATCCCCCTTCGCCCAGGCTCTGCGTGGCCCCTGCACACGCCGAGGGGCCTGGCTAGGGGCACTTGGCCAACACACGCACCCCCGGTTGCCCCCGCCCAGTGCTGCTCCTTGCAGCCCGGCGGGGCGGGGCTGGGCGGGGCGGGGCGGGGCGGGCCCTGCCCCGCGCAGCTCGCCTCCAAGCAGGCGCCGCCCGATCGCCCCTTCCCTCGGCGCCCAGCGCGGCCAGGTTGGGTGATGGAAAGCCCTCCCCTCTGAATCCAAGGGCTTTCCATTTGAAACCATGAGCAGGTATTATTAACACATTATTAAAATTCCGTTTGCAGCAACTTAATGAGACTTCACATATTATCAATGAGAGAGAATTTCACACAAGCCAAGCGACCACTTAAGTCACGTCCGCGGTTTCCAGACAACGCAAATGAGGCTTTTACCTAATTGAATTCGATTTCTCTTGGCCGTCAGAGGCGAAACTATTACTGTCCGAAAGAAGGGAGTGATCAGAGTCAAGGTAATTTGGCACGGAAGAGGCGGCCTGTTGAGTTACGCCGATTTTCAGGTATTTAGTCTGAAACGGAAGAAATGTGTTTTCCGGCAGACACAAAACAGTAAGATAATAGGAGCCCCACGCCTTCCTACGAGCCTTTCGACTGCTAATAGACTTACAAGAAAAATGAAGATTTTCCCCTAAGTTGCCTTTCTTCTGTTAATGCAGACTCAAAATTGTGTTTCCCGTCTCATTTTGAGAAACCAATTCCCATACAGTAGGTGGCAAATCAGGTAAAGACGACAAAAAAATGCAGCCTCAAAGAAACTAAAAAAGGAATGAAAAACTTCAGAGCACCAGTAGACATAAAAATGCATTTTCCAGTGCAGATTTATTATGGGCGCCATCTGTTTTGCTGAGTATGAGTCAACGAGCAGGGGAAAAAATTACCCAGTTTGACAGTGAACCAGTCTTAAAAATTACAGATCGAATTGAAGTTTTGGGGGTCGGCTTCAGACATGCTTTGAAATTAGATACAAAGTTTCTTCAGAAATTGTTCATGAAGGTAGGCAGCAGCCTCTTCCTCTTTAAAATGCAGACATATGGCCTGATTTTCAGAGGTGCTGAATACCATAACTCACTGAAGTGTGAGCAGCATTTCTGAAAATCAAGATAAGAGTTTCTCTTCTTGCATTCATGTGGCTTCGGGATAAAACACATAATCTAAATTTTAACGTGAATAATTGTTCATCTGGGTAGTTGCTGGCACAGTTCATTGGCATGATGTTGATGACAGTGCTACCTACACAGCCCTGGAAATGTATGCTTTCTGAAAGACATATTTATAAATTACTGTGTGGACATAACCCTCAATTTCAGAATCTGATGTTATTAACTTGCTTGTTCTGTTTTCACTGAATCTATTTGTTTCAAATGCAGTTTGCTTTAAAAAACTGGTTACATATCCTTTGTTTTTCTTTAGGCAATGCAGGCATCAAGTATCTCTTCTTTCTTCAGTATTTTAAAAAGCTATTGACAGTAAAACTCATAGACCAGAGTTTGCTAGGATCCACCTTCTCCTTGGTACAGAAATCTTTCCCTTAAAACACAAAGGAGTTATTTACTGCCTGACTAAATAGAACATATCACCTCTAGTTAAGTCTGTAAATTACATTAGTCTGCTGTTCTGGCTTTGTTTTTCACCATTTTTAAAAATATGAACAAATCAATTATATTAGCCATATGGTTTGATCATATCAGCTAATTTCCATTTTATAAGGTAATTGTTGTTTAAACATTGACAACTTATTAGTTAAAGTGTTTAGGAAAGATCTTTTCACTCCTGCCTTGTTTAAAAGATGATTGAAATGACAATGAACACTCAAAGTGAAGTCATTAAATCATTTCTTCTCCTATTTTTCACTTCCTGTATATCCAAATAGCTCAAATCAGCCTAGCTAAACTCCAGTTTGATTTATACCTCTGGAATACAGGCCATGAGACCATCAGGCTTTCAATTCAGTCTAATCCAGTTTGTAATGAGTCACTTAAAAGAAGCCACTTTTCAGTATGGAACAGGTAAGGGGTAATTTTTCTTAGTTATTTTAAAGATGCGTAGTAGTGAGCATGTACAAGTGGTTTCACTCTGGCATTTACACAATGGAAATATAAAGCTTCACCCTTCAGTGCTCTTAATACTTCTTCCATTAAATGTACTTACTCATCTAAATGGGAGTGTATTTAACTGCTAAACAGATGGTCTACAGTGTGCACAATTATAAAGCAAGGGTTTGTATATGTTACCATATTTTAGACTCCAGATTTCCTACTTCCCTATACACTTTTCAGAGTAGTTTATCTTCTCACACAAAACACTAGTGCAGGTGGAGAACCCAGTCTGGAATTCAGTTATCTCGTGCCATCTTGAGTTCTTGAGAACATTCAGGCAGGCAGACTCCTTCACGCTCTGACAAGGCCTGCGTTCAAGGATTTGAACTAGTCCTGTGCTTCTGGTTCTCAAAGCATTTTCAATGGCTCTTTTAACTAGTCTCTAGAATGATGGAATTTAAAATACTCAATAAGCATTTTGCAGCCCTGTTTACTTTATTAAATAAATAGTGAAGAAAAAAGTGTCCTGGCTGGCCCCAGATCAGCCCTACTTGAAGCAGCAACCAGGCTGCTGCACACATCAGCTCTCTTTAAAGCTGCAGTATATCACAAAAATCCCCAAATGTTAAAATTGCCAAGATGAGAACTCATATGTTAGGAAATGCCAGGATTAAGGTCTTCTCTGCTAGTTTATACTATTTTTTTCATGGGACCTCTGCCTCATTCAATATGTTTTCTCCTTAATTTTCCCCTAATTTTTTAATTGGCCTTATTTATTGCACATTATTCTGTTCCCAATCTGAAAAGAGAATCAGTGATTTCCTCATGTGATTTTTCTGTGATTCTTCTGGATATTGTATCTCAAGTACCCCAAAAACAAAAATGAAAGTATTTTCACAACACAATATAAGGGTAATAGCTTTATTATGCCCATTTTACAAATGGGGAACTGAGGCAGAGAAAGGCTAATATCAACACTGTACACTAATTTTGAGTATCTAATTTGAGACACTAAATGTTTGATTTTTTATTTTTACTTTTCAGTTTAGAGCTAATTAAGCATCTTTGTGTTCAAAATAAAGCTAATAGTCAGGACTGGATTATGACAGGGTGGGGCCCTAAACTAGGGGTTCCCAATCTTTCTATGCTGTGGCCTGGAAAACTGCAGACCGGAAATGGCTGCGGGAGGCAAACTGCAGAGCCCCATGGCCGGAATTTCTGGAGGAGCACAGGTAAAGTTACTGCCACCCCCTGGGCAGGAGACCCTGCAGGAGGAGTCACGGCCTCTCCGCGTGGCTCTGTGAGGCAGCCGCTTGCCAGTCCGTGGTCACTTCCAGTTCAGCAGCCAACGCTTAGAGGCCCTTCATAGTGTAAGACCCTAAGCTATAGCTTGTTTAGCTTGTGCCTAAATCTGGCACTGCTAATAGTGGCTTCAGTGGCAGCTGCAATGCTCATCTCTTCTGCAGGTCAAACCCCAGAATCTCAAGTTGGGGATCCAGAAAATGAAAAACACACAAATAGCGAACACATGCAACAAGTTTTGTTTATAAGACTTCTAGTATTCTACTAACACTCTGTAGCACAAGCATACATAGAATTAAATTATGCAAGTCAGCATTCAACACTTAATCAACAGAGCATCCTTTTTCTTTCTACAGTTCTCTAAAACGTTCACTTTCAGCATTTCCCAATATCCGCAAAAAATGTGGGTTGTCCCATGAACAACCACCTTCTTCACTGCTCCTCCCTGAGTTGTCATTTTAGTAGTTCTATTCCTATGCACTGAATGAGATATGGAACTCCTGTACAAATACTAGGTGATCATGTAATTAACAGTTGTGCCATAATACATACACACCAGGATGTCTAAGTTGATGTTGCACCTAAATTAGGTAACCTAAATTTGACTGGTTTAACCTCAACATTCTTCTTAATGGTTTGTGTGTGTGTACAGTTTCTTAGGTTTAATAAAATGAAAAAAAATCATAACATGTAATCATATTGACCCTACACAAGTCACCATATGGGTGGAACCTTGAGATCCCAGTGCAGACTGTTGCCCCTTGAGGTAACAGGGTATCTGACAGCAGTAGTAAGCTGTCATCCTCTCTGTGAACCAACACACTATGCTGCCATTGGGTTTTACAGATATTTGTTGACAGAGTACAAATGATAAAACTGAGGAATCTTAGTTTCCATTCCATGATGTGGAGGGAAGCAAGTTACTGTTCCCATACCCAATCCCATGTGCCCCGGACTCGAAGAAGCTGCTGCTGCCATTAGCAGCGGCAGCGTCAGCAGTGGCGCGGGGGTGTAGCGAGCAGCTGGATGCAAAGCTGGCGGCAGTGATGCAGAGCTACTGCAGCCACTCTGCTCAGCTCCGTGGGGCCCCCCAAAGCATGGGGCCCAGAGCAGTCACCCCAATTCGACCCCCCTAGGGATGGACCCAAGTATCAGGTTGAACTGATTTAGGTCAAACCAGTTTATGGAAATTTGGTTTCAGACCCCTTCCTGGTTCAAGTTAAATCAGAGTCCCCCAGCATCCCAGGATGCTTTTCAGTCCTGGGCTAGGCTGTGCAGTCTGCTCAAGCAAAGCAGGGTTGGCTCCACCCCTCTGCTCTCTAGCTGGAACAATGAGGGCTGGCTGACAATGGGTCGGGGTGGGAAACAGCGAGGAGGGGGGGAAAGCTAGCAGATCTTGGCTGGGATCCCATGCCAGTGTCAAAGGAGAGGCAGAGGGGTTTAATCCCCCTCCCTCCTGCCACCACTGACTTTGCCTGAGGTACTGCCTGGGCTGCTGGCTGGCCACACCCCCCACGACTCCGGGACAAACCTGGGAAGGGCTGCATTCCCCCTCCCCCTCCAAGCACACCCTGGCTGGGGTCCCTGCAGGCCAGGGTGGGGGTTTAGACCCCTCCCCAATCATACTCAGTGGCCTGCCAGGGCCTGGCCAGATGTGCCCCCACTCCCCCCTGAGAGCTCAGCTTCCCTCCAGCCTTCTGGCCACTGCTGAGGGGAAGAGAGGGCTCACTCTAGTGCCCCCTGGTTTCTACCCTGTGCTACTGCAGGAATGTGGCTGCATTTCTGGAATCAAAAGTGAATGTCTAATCACTTGCTTCTTGGTTTAGTCTATGCAGGTTAGACTAATCTGCAAAGACTGAATCAATTCAGGCTTGGGCTTTTTGAATGCCTGTACTTAGCCTATATGGGAAAGCACTGTTAATGGGCCTGCTTTGAAATTCAGGGAAGAGCTTTGGACTTGTATCGGTTTTGGATCAGATTCCATGCATCTGCACAGGAGCAACTGCTATGGGGTTCAAGGTACCTTTAAAAAATAAAAAAGGATGGTTTGTCTGAGCAAAATCCTCCTACTGTGTCTCTTCATTACTTATTGAAATTAAGGTAACACCTAAAAGTCCTAATCAAGTCAATTGGCTAGTCACTGTACAGACTTATGAGATACAGTCCCTGTCCCAAAGAACTTATGCTGTTAGTGTAAGACAAGATGTTTTTGATAGATGAAGCAGACAAATGGGGGAAGAAAGGGAGTGAATGAGGTAACTATTATGGAAGCTTTTTTCATGACTAGATGAATACAGGAGTTGTAGATATATGAAAGTTTTCCTTTGTGTTCGTTAACAAGAACAAGAGAACCAGTGGCTGTAGTCACAGGTTGCTATCTGCTTAGCCATTATCAGCTGGGGTTGTATTGGGTTCTGTCTAGAAGTTAGTCGTAAGGAGAGATTCAAGACCAGATAGTGTAGTAGCTTTATAGGTTTACTTCTGACCACTGTGGGAATAAAAGTGAACTGTAACATAAGGGTAATCCAGACTATGCCAGGCCCTCTTCTGCTTGTTTTGGTAGACTTGTATAAAGATCTGGCTAGAATATGGGTTTTGTAATCAAATTTCTACCACATATCATCAGAGTTCATACTTGTGTTAATCTATGGGATTCTACCTACCATTCTGGATTTCTTACCTTGTTGTTTGGTCTAATCCTGTTTGGGCTTTTTAGTCATTTCATTCTTAGATGTAATACAGACCCTCGTTGTGTCCAAAATAAAAAGCATTCAGTTAGAAATGTATAGCCCTAACAGCATATCCAACAGAAATATGAACAGAGTTTTAGTTGAATTACTGACATATGTTTGTACAGTGTCTTTTTTGGACAGTTCCCACAGCATTCTGCACGCAGACTGGCAGAAGGGTCACTTTACCTGTGCTGTCTTGTGAATTCCAGTTTTGCCTCCCTGCAGGTAGAAGGTGGTAGCTGCCCTATGACATTCAACCACATTACAAAACTGGTCCAACCAGAAAGTGAAGATAATTTTGTTTAGTTGAAATTGCTGTGAGAATTTAAGGTCTGGGGAAAAGTGGATTTAAAAAGCACCAAAACTGACTCTAAATTTATAGAGTTGGTAGTAAGTGCCCTTGGTAAGGCTGTACTTCTGTCATGACTATCATGAGTTCCACAGAGAATGTTAAATTGACTA